TCGGAGGTGGAGATTTGGGGAACCATTCACACTGGGGCTTGGTACGATCCCTGTTGACTTTGCAGATGCAGGCGCCAGGAGGTACCTGAAGGGGAAATAAACTCTTTTAACTTTTAGATAGAGTTCGGGTGTCGTCGCTTATTCCCACCGACCTTCTATCCGTAGACGGCAGTCGACGATTAAAGAAAGTCAATACGGGTTACCTCTGACTAACACTTTGGCGCGCTTCCTGGTAATCTCCTACACCCTGTGACCTAGACATTTTGTCTCGAAAGCCGTTCTACGACAGGGAAATCATCGCGCCCCATGTCAGGAAAAGGAACGCCGTCGACGGCTAGCTCTGACCTTCCATCGTATCCAACTTCTGTGCTGAACAAGGCAGCCTGGGAGACAAGACGGACCGGCCGCTTGTTTGCTTGGCAGTTGCCTATCAACATGTCCCTGTCCAACCAATAGGTACTGACGTCCTGTTTGATTCAGGTACTTGGCCCACTGCTATCAGCCTTGGCACCGATGCATCGCGCACCGAAAGAACTTTTGCTGCCGCGAGCCTCATCACCGCTTTCAGTCTCGTGCCGGCCTGCGCTCCGTGAGGGGAGAGTCTTCGGACGCCTCGGCCACCCAGGGGCTCCACGCGGGAGCTGTCATCATGGGATTGATGAGGTGAGGTTGCATGCAGTTGAGCATGCCCCCAGACCTCAACTTATCCGTAGATCCGGAGTGGAAGCTCAATATTGGTCGCAACGAAACAGTCAGTCATGACACTGGCGATTCAACTTGAGTCTGACTGCACTCAATCCCTCCGTTTGGTGGGAACTGCTACTTGCAAGACTAGCACGCGTGGGATGGAAAGACTCCTATCTCGGTATGACCAAGGGACAACTTGCGACATTTATCACGCAGACAAGTGATCGCGTACCTCGTATACGCTGCCAGCTTCGAAGGACATCAACAGATCAGAATGAAGCGGCCCAAGGAAAAGGAGGCCATCCCGGACAAGTGGACTTCCAAGTCCCGCTATGCCTGCGCCGTGACTGCGAAGCTTCCCCGGACCGTTGTCCGCCAAGGCCATACTAATCCCGGGACCTGCCCTTTCGGGATCCCCGCCAAGAGCCTCCAAGAACACTCCAGCGGGTGGCCAATTGAGCAGAACTGTCGCCCGGAATTACTCGTTAATTATCGCTCACTGCTACGTCTGTGGATAGTTGGGTACCTCACTTGTACGGAGTGCTCCCCACTGTGCGATGTTACCCTGCCGCCGTTTGTGACTGGCCGGCAACCGTTGCTATTATTTGCACCGCCCGTCTGTCTTGCATCCGGCAACATGGCCTAGTACATGTTGCGGTGCAGTGAGCCTGGCATGTCTTGGTCGCATCCGACTTTCCCATGGTTGCAATTCCACGAGGAACATTTGCTGAACCAACTCACGTCCCCCTGGTACTGCCGAGACAATGCCCAGATCGATGGACTCCAGCAGTCCCAGGCGCGAGCAGGCATCCCGACATGACTGCATATCAAGCTTCCATGACAGGAAGTAATGACTAGCAGACACAATTGGTACTTTGGTTACTATGGTCCGTCCATACTAATGGGTCAGGATATAAATCCAGAACCATGCCCACCTCTCATCGAAACAGTTCGTCTTGATCTCCAAGGGAATCTAGCCTCCAATCCACCTCCCTCGCTCATCTCAGTCCAATCCTCCCTTTCAATTAGGCAAAACACGCTCAGAGTGTTTGCATTGGACATCAGGCACCATGGTCCGCGCTTCATCCTACCTCGGCTCCCTTGCCGTCCTCGCCGCCTCGGCGATGGCCAAGGAGATCCAGATGAACGATGCCATCTCGGCTGAGTTCTACGACTCTGGCAAGGTCCACGAACAAGTCATCGCTGCTAAGAAGGTAAGCTCAAAACTCTAACGAGCACGACAGGAACTGGGACTGATGAAGAACACCAGGCCGAGTTCGCTCGCCAGAGAGAAGCTGGTGCTTACAACAGTGAGGTCTGGCCCGAGCTGGGCTACACCCCCTGTGTAAACGGTTGGGCCGAGGCTGTCGTTGGAGACAGGAACAACACCTTCAGGTGTCACAACGTAAGTTCCCACCAGAAACATGGCTCTTGCCGCGACGCTCGAGTAACATATTCTAGGCCGACTTGTATTCCTTTGTCAGCCACGCTGCCCTCGGTGGACCCCTTGCTGAGGGCTCTTCCTCGTGGGGATGGACCAACGACGATGGTCGTGAGTTCGTCGCCATCGGCCAGTATGAGGGTACCGCTTTCGCCGAGATCCTCTCGGACGGCAAGCTCGTCTACCTCGGCCGCTTGCCCCAATACTCGGCGCCCTCCGAGTGGCGCGAGATTCGCTCCTACAAGCACTACATGGTCATTGGCTCCGAGGCCGTTGGCCACGGCATTCAGATCTTCGACATGAAGAAACTCTTGAACATTGACCCCGCCAACCCCGTTGTCTTTGACGCCAAGGCTGACTTGACCGGTCACTTCAACGCCCTCCTGCCCCTGGGCCGTGCTCACAACGTTGTCATCAACGAGGAGCTCAACTACGGTGTCGCCGTTGGTGCCGCGCCCCGTACCGACCCTCTTTGCGCCGCCGGTCTGAACTTCTTCGACCTGACGGACCCTTCTAACCCCGTCTCTCTGGGTTGCGCCAAGGACGATGGATACGTCCACGACGCTCAGTGCTTGGTCTACCGTGGGCCCGATAAGCGCTACCAGGGCCGTGACATCTGCTACGGCTACAACGAGGATACTCTCACCATCTACGACGTTACCGACAAGGCCAACGTCACTAACATCATCTCCCGCATCTCGTACGAGGGTGCTTCCTACACTCACCAGGGTTGGGTCCTTGATGTGAACAACCAGGAGTTCCTTGTCCTCGACGACGAGCTTGATGAGGTATGTTAAATTGCATCATACTAAATATCAGCAAAAGCTAAACTTTGATCCTACAGGTTCGTGGCAACGGCCCTGGCGGAGACGGATACCCCGTCACTTTCATCTGGGACATCAGAGACCTTGAGAACCCCAAGCAGACCGGAGGTGCGTATCACAAATAACCTATTCCAGCGCACAACGGAAGACTAATAATATTACAGAGTTCAAGCACCCCACCAAGGCCATCGACCACAACCAGTACGTCATCGACAACTACATCTACCAATCCCACTACGGCGCCGGCCTCCGCGTCCTCGACGGCACCTCCATCCCCACCGACCCCACCGGCGCCGGCGTCTGCGAGGCCGCCTACTTCGACATCTACCCCGAGGACGACGACTTCGAGGGCGGCGGCTACGTCGGCTTCGTCGGAACCTGGTCCTCGTACGCCTACTTCCCCTCGGGCTACATCTTCATCAACACCATCGAGCGCGGCGCCTTCGTTGTCAAGCTGACCGGCAAGGACTGCCCCAAGGCCCCCGTCTGCAACGCCGACAACTGCCTGCGCTCGTTCCGCGCCACTTCCGTCCCTGGCCGTCTCGAGGAGTCGCAGGCTTTCTGCAAGTCGTTCCTGAGCAAGCCTGTTAAGGATGCTAGCGTTCTTCCCGCGCACGCGGTGCAGAACTGCGCCAAGGAGGATAAGGTTGCTCAGGCTAGCAGTGCTTGCGCCTGCTTGCCTGCTGCCACCCCCGCTCCTTGAAGCTGGATAATGAAACGGGAAGAGAGACATGAAAACGTTGGATGATAATGCGTGATGCGCCGTAGATAATTCTTAGTACCTAGTTTACCCTCTCAGTCGGTTGCCCACGATACGTGGCATCTGAGAGTTTGTTAGCAACAATTGATGAAAACATCGACCTGACCTTACACGAGATTGAAGTATGCATGCCGTTTGTGAAGCCACAGAACTGTACCTAAATTGGAGATTCGTCGTGTAATCAGATGTGGCATATTAATGGTCGAGTCCACCCAGTTATTACAATGCTACTTCGGGAATTGTCTCTCTGGATGTCTCAAGAAGTGATTCTCGACCAGGTGCCTGACCCATATCCACCAAGCAAAAGAACCCGACCAATACTGCCCCGAAACCACGCGCCGGGTTATTGGAGTCTGTTAGTAAGAACTGCTAACCTCTAACTTTTCTCGAACTTCAAATTTTCTATCTTGTCCATATCGTTTCTAAATACCTAGTCTCAACATGTCGTCCGTCTCTCAAGTCGGCGGTATCCTTACCGTTCCCGCATACACATCGGTCAGCGAGGGCGGAAAGATTAAGGTGTAATGGACTCAATCTAATCTTGTGGAAGCAGAACTGGCAGCTACTACGTCGTCAAAATCAAGGACCAGGCTGAACATGACGCCAACGTGCTTCTCTGCGTTAATACCGCTTCCCGCCGGACAGCTTCACTGAAGACTCTATCGGAGGCTCAGCGGGTGTAGAGAAATAGTATGATAAATGCCCGTGTTACAATCAATATGACTAAATGCACGGGATCTAAGCCGCGGCACGTCCCATTAGACCGCTTCGTGATGAAGATTGACCACCACTTCCAGAACGGGCAACAAGATATATCTGGAAAAGGCAGCTTCTTTATTCTTCAGAAATAGATTCCACAAGCTCTACGAGATAATTTATTCGCATTTCTGATTCTCAAAGTGACCATGCCTAGTTTGTGTTTTCTTCTCAACGTTCGTTCTGTACCTCAGCTTGATGGGGCATGGAAACTGCAACCACGGCCACCAATTTGCTAGACAATTGGCAGCGGTAAAAAGGAAATTATTTATTAAGCTATAATACGTCAGGAAGAGACTCAATTGGTCCCACATCCCCAGGAGTTCTTCGCGTTTAAGGTGTGCAACAAGCTCAGAACTCGCATGCGACCCACGGACCTTGGTGCGGCGATCTTGAAACGCGCCCTTGAAACATCAAGAACAGCCATCGAGGGTCGTCCCGAGCTTTCTTCTCTACAGCGACGCGAAAATACATCAGACCGAACTTTCTCTTCTTACCAAAATCATCGAACACAAGACCAACGACTATCAAAATGAGTATACGCATGCTTCTCGCAGGCCTGGCCTTTGGCCAAACACTAGGCCTCAAGACTCAAGTGCCCTTATTCGAATCATGCGCCGCAAGCCCGCTTCTCCCAGACTCCCAACTCGCCTGCAGCAAACCCACAGTCTTGACCTCTGGAGGGTCGCCTGCCCTGGACAATCTCGCCGGAAATCGCACAGCGAAGCCGCCCAAGAAGGATATTTGGCGTTCGGACGAAGGCTGGCAAGGCCCTCATTCCTGCGCGGGAGCGTACTGCGCCTACTCGCGGCCATCCTTCGCCAATGGCCGCGGCATCGTCCTCGTGAGCACGGCGTACAACGCCGAAGAGGCGTCTCATCTAGCGGCTTTTGCAAAAGAGTCGATCAAGGGTGAGGGCGACAGCGAGCTGTTCCGCGTGGTGGAGATGCCCGGCAAGGGGCTGGGTGTTATTGCGAACCAGCATATCCGGCGTGGGCAGCGGATCATGGCTCATCCGCCGGCTGTTGTTGTGCACCGCAGATTCGTTGATGATATTGATCTGGAGAATCAGTACCGTCTGCTTGATGTTGCCGCTGGAAAGCTTCCGCGGGATACTCGAAAGGCTTTCATGGCGCAGATGGGTCAGTCTCGCGAGCATCAATCTACGGGACACAAGGTGCACGATATCATGCACACCAACTCATTTGAGCTTGGCCTTGGGATCAGAGATGGTCATCACTTTGGTAACTACCCAGAGGTCTCGCGCTACAATCATGATTGTAGACCCAAGTGAGTTTCTTCAGTTCCATTATGGCTTATAGGCCATATATCACCTCATAAACTAACACAGCCTAGCGTCGCCTTCTATATTGACGACTCAGACATGCGGCACTACACTCATGCCATCAAAGACATTCAGCCTGGTGAGGAACTTACAATCTCCTACGTCGACTCCCTCAGCTCCCGTGCCGTCCGCCAAGATCGAGCTCAGCGCAACTGGGGCTTCGGCTGTACCTGTCAGCAATGCAGTCTCTCCGAGGCATTCATCCGCTCTTCTGATCAACGCCTCGGCAAGATGTGGCAAATCGAGCAGCAAATGAGTCACTGGAACGGCGCAAAAGTCGACGAGGAGATGATTGAGGAGCTTATTTCGCTCTACCGGCAAGAACAGCTTGACCAATCTCACGGTTCGGATGCATTCAGACTTGCTGCATTGAATTATAATTCCTTGGGAATGGAGAAGGAGGCGCTTGAGTATGCAAAGCTAGCTGAAGAGCAATTTTTGCTGGAGAAGGGTCCACGAGCGAAGCAGGTTCAGGATATGAGAGACTTGATGCAGAGCCCGAAGGAGCACTACAGTTGGCGACAAAGAGTTTGATTGGTGCTGCAAATGTTTCTTCTTACTCGAGTTTGGATGTAAATTGCTTTGGGAAAATAGCCTTTCATTTACCAAAAGTTCATTCCAGTCATGTTTAGAGCTTCTGGCCAACCTTGACTTCGTCCCTCTCATATCTCTTCCAGTATTCAATGAAAGTCTTCGATCGAGACAGATTATATCTCAGAACGGGCGACTCTCGACTTCTTTCTTCAGATCTTCATTGAACTGGTTCCATCCAAAAAGAACCTTCTGCCTGAAACCCCACATTGGTGCCATAATAAATGCCAAGAGGCCACGAATCTCCTCGACCTGAATGAACCTGGTGCCTCCGGAGTTTTGCTCACTCGGGTTGAACCAAAACTCGTGTTTGCCAGTGAATAAGAACGGAACTGACCCCACCCAATGGAGCGTCTCACTTGTGTTTTCCTAGTTATTCAAAGAAAGTCGGTTAACTCAACCACAACTACCATACTGTAGATAGCAAAACCCATCTAGCGGAGAAGAACTGAAAACTCCTTACCACAATGACTGGACTGAACGCCATGCCTCCCATGTCAACCTTGATCTTATCGCCATCCTTGAGCTCCGAGGGATCCTTGCCCGGCTCAGTCGGCTCGATAGTCCACTTCTGGCTCCACTGCTTGTATTTGCTGAACTCCAGAAACTAATTAGACGCAAAGTCAGCACAGAGCTTCCATGGAAGTTTCCATCATTTGTCCGAAACGCGCGTCGGGTTCGCTCTATCTCACAGGGTCCTTACCACTGATCTCACGGCCGACGGCGGAGCCTGGATTTCAATCTCTGCAGAGATACTTTGCGTTTGACCCATGGCTACGGTTCTTGAGCTAAATATAGGTTCCGTGGGGGAATTTGACAGATTTGGCGCTTTTGGTCGAAAGGGGCCCTCTCGTGCTTGGAGATCTTGTATGGATGGTTGAGCCTGATACTATCAAGTCTCTTGAAAATAATATCGCAAGATGGATATCTGTAATCATTGAGGGGAATGCCTAGGTTCATATACGATTTCATGTGGGTTAACAGATAACCGCCCATTGGTGGTTATCTGCTGACTGCATAAACATCCCTCACCATCGCTTAAGCCACCCGGCGGCTGTCAGACCGCGATCGGCTAGGCTGGGCACTGAACCCCGGGCTGCGCCGCAGCTACGATCTATCAAACTGAATTCCGCCGGCCGTCAATTAGTCCGGAAACACACAGCTCCAACCCCCAAACGCGCGCCAGCCAAACGACAATAGACTTAGCCAGCCATCTAGGGTTCTGTTTCCCCAAATCCCAATGTTCCCATTACCGAGTCCGTTTATTTGGATCTCTTTGACCTACTCCTAGACTCCGTCACCCCAATACCCATTGAACACGAGGTTGACTCATTGAAACTGTGGACGTTCGGAAGCGAGCACCCACATATCGTTGTGGGTGAAGACGCCGGCGTGGTTCGCTTCCTTCCATGGGGTGTCAGGTCTCGCAAGACACCAGTCAAAGTTGCGCATTAGCTGTTCGATATGTTAGCTCACAGGTCATTCAGAAGGTGCGCGAAGGGATGCTGTGCTCGGCTTACCTCAAAAATGGTCTTGCCAATCTCCATCATCGCAATGGGCCGGCCGAGGCACTGATACTTTCCATACCCAAAGATAAGCTCATGCACCCGATGCATATTCACCAACCGCCTCTCGTCCTCCTCCAACAACCACCGCTCAGGCCGGAACTCGTCCGCGTCCTCGCCAAAAATCTCCTTGCTTAGGTGCATCGGCCACGCCGCGGCATTGATGTTTGTCCCGCCGGGTAAGAACACCGACTCGCCGTTCACGACAACCGTGTCGCCTCCGTCCGGCACCCGCTTGGGATCCATATTTGTCACGGGCGGGTGCACGCGCATGCCCTCCTTGATGACGGCCTGCAGATACGGCATCCGCCTGTTCTCCGCATCCGAGACGATGCCCGACGGCCGGGAGCCAATCTGCCCGTCCCTGACGTACGCGTCAATCTCAGCCTGGAGCTTCGCGTAGACGCGGGCATGGGTGAGGAGGTAGAGCATGATGATGCGCAGCGACGCGGCGGTGGTGTCGGACCCGGCGATCATCTGCAGTGTCGTCTCGGAGAGGATCTCGTCCTCGCTGAGGCCGTGCCGGATGAACGACGCAATCATATCGGACCGCTTCTCCGTGTCGCGCGCCAGGCGCTCCTTGATGATGGCGCGGCCGTTGGCGAACATGCGACCGAAGCCCGAGGCGTCCGTCTCCTTGGGGCCGAGGAGGCGTGCCACGATGGGCTTCTGCAGGATCTTGTAGAGGCCCAGGCCGATCTTGTACGTGAAGATTGTCATGCCGACTTCGGCTGACTCGGCGACGCCGAACATGTCTTCATCGGCGCGCAGGTCGCCAAAGGGCTTGCCGTAGCTGATGTTGCTGATGACGTCGAGCGTAAGGTACTGCATCTTCATGGCCAGGTCCATGGGTCGCGCCGCGAACTCGGTGGACATGTACTTTGATCGGATGAGCTGAACCAGCTCCGACACGTGTGTGTCGACCGAGTCCTCTAACGCCAGATTCTCTTTTCCAGAATACTTTGATGGTGGTTTCGTCAGTACTGGCATGGTCCGTATCAGACTAGGTAAGTGAAGATCGTCAAAAACGTACCCCGGCTCCCATCCGTTGCCTCAGCACCCTGTGCTTCTCTTCGTCCATCTCACTAAAGACATGATCGTTCTCTGACATGTGCCGGCACGCGCGGTAGTACCACTCCGTTCGCGTGTACGGCGACCGGATGCCGCTCATGTAGACGAGAAGCTCGGGCGAAGATGTGATCAGGTCGTTCGGCCCGACGCGAGCGATCGTCCCTAAGAGGATGGGTTCAGCATTGGGCTTTCCTTCATGTTCAGCTCGGGCCATGTCGTGAACTTGGCAGCATGGCCGATCACGACGCTTGTAAGGAAGAAGACGGTGAAGAGGACTTGGGGTAGAAACCCTAACGGATGGGAAGGAAGAGAGACTCACCGTATTTCCTGCATACTTCATCGTACTTCAGGTGAGACTTGAAAGTCAGAATCGCCCAGGCATGCCACGCCTCCGTCCAGCCGCACAGGACCGGGCCCTTGAACGCTCGGAGTCGATTATACGTCCTGATCTTGTGGCCGACGTACACAGCTACCAAGATCGCCGCAAAGAGCCAACGAAGGCTGTACAGTTGTGAAATGAGACCCATCTTTGTCAGTCGCAAGTCCTTCTTAGTATGAGAAGAGTGCGATGTATGAAGGAGTAAAAGGGAAGGTGATCAACATGTGGGATTGGGAACTGGCCCTGAGATGTAGTAGTCCCGGGACGGCGGCTCAGGAACTTTAAAGAGCGCTTCGAAGGGGGCCTGTCTAGCTTCGGTACCGGGGCCTACGGTCCTCGTGGGATTTTATGAATCTGATGGTATGCCATCATCTCGCTTGAGCGCGAGGGCCTCATAGTGGGCAGTGGCGCTTTGAAGAACTGGGGGGGAAGGGAGGGAAAGGGAAATGTCAGGTTGAGTCGTGCGTGCCGATCCCGTATCCCGTTAATTTTTTCCCTGGGCTGGGAGCTCAGCTGGCTGTTCTCGGGAAAGGGGCTGAACGGCAGTTGAGCGTTGAGCTTTGACGATGAGATAATTGATAAGGAGTGAAAGGGACCCTCGTTGGACCGGGACCCCGGATGCAGTCAAGGGTCACGACAGCCAAGGGCCCCATCGGGGATTCAGCAAAAAAGTCGGGAAAAAGCCACTCGGCGTCATATTGTTCGTTTCTGGTAAACCGTACAATCTGGTTTGCTTTTTCCTTCCTTTCCTTTTGCCCCCTTTTTCAACCGGTGAGGAGGATACGGGGGCAAACGGGGCTGCGTACTCATCTCCAATGATATTGGAGTGATTTGGAGAACTTTGGAGTACTTTGGAGTTGGTGTGTGTAGCCAAGAGTTCGAACTTATTCCCATCTAGTCCTGTTGCATATGTAAAGCATCGTGGACCGGCGTTATGACGAGGTCTGGAACTCCGTCCAAGATGGATCTCCGGCCAAGGAAAGGGGACTTTGGAGTTCAAAAGTCCAGATGACGTGGACCTCAGGCCAGATTACATGCTTGGTATTGTGGCCACTGGGTAATCCCATTGTTCATTTGAGGGGCATTTGTCCAGGAAAATGGTTGATTGGGCTCGATCTCACTCAGCTGATCGTGCTCGGTTTCCAACGTTCGAGTCTCATTCCCGGGGCGTACAAAAGCAATGTTCTGTCGGTGATATCTTTTATGAAAAAAAACAAAAAACGACACTATTGTGAATGTTGTATCCGTGCGCTAGCCTGCTCCCGGACCTTCGGATTTCTCCCGACCGTCACCTTAGAGCTTAAGTAATCAGCCCTCCCTAGGCATCAACGCAAGAGAGCCTGATGCCGTTTGCCCATCACGATTATTCGTCGTTGAAACACATATTCAACTGGCGCCTAACCTGCACTTAACACAAGCCTTAATTATGGGCCGCTTCATGCGTGGTTGGCGATAAGAGGGGACTCGAGTTTTTGACTGCCCGTTGTTTTGAGGTTCCCGTGGTTCGAGGAGGAACCGAGGGCCCGCGGGATCCCAGAAGGGGAAATATTCGAACCCCCACGTTGCATCAACCACTGCGAGCAGCGGACATCCCAGTTGTTCGCCTAGGAAACCCCCGTCATTTTGTCAACTCCCGAACCTCACTTGAGGTTGCACCAGCAAACATCTACCCTCCTGTGTGGTGACATTGAACCACACAAATCAAGGAACTCGTGAAAGAGACAACAAGAAATGACAAAATAGCTTGGGCCACATCTCCAAATTGAATATGACTTGAACCAGATGATATTCAATCGTGTTCTGCCCGGCCAGAGGTGGCAAGCATGGGTATTTGCATCACGCGAAACGAGAGAACCAACAAAACACCAAACCAACAGAAACGAAAACCAACACAACCTTAATTGAACCTCTTTGATCAAGAATTAACCCCACAACCTTGATGATTTCAATTCGTCAAATTGCAAATTTTTGTAGTCTTTTTTCGATGAGGTGATGCTTTCTCAGCTTTTCAGGATCAATAATATGTTGTCCTGAAACTCCAATCCATACGATACCTACACTATGGAAGAACCACATGAAAAACATCAACCGGAACCAAATAACTCAGTGCCTGTCGTGATCAGCATACTAGGCCGACCCGGCTCAGGCAAAGCCACGCAATGCCGCCTCCTCTCTCAGAAATACAACCTCTCGCACATCAGCATCGGCGACGTCCTCCGCGAGGAGATGGAACGCGGGGAAGAAGGCCCCCACGCAGATATCATCAGAGCAAACATGCTTGCAGGCACAATAGGTCCGATTGAAATTACAATGGCTATTCTCAAAGTTCGAATCACAAAGTTGATGGAGGGTGGCACAAGAGTATTCATTTTAGATGGTAAGCTGCTTCTGCAACCCCCCGGGAATTCTGTAACACAGAAGGTGATCTAGACCCAAACCAAAAGGATTCCCAAGATTAATAGAACAATCAACGCAACTCCAAACCCTCATCGGCCCCATAACCCCCTTCCTCGTACTCCAATGCTCTCCAGAAACAAGCTTCCATCGTCTCCTCCCCCGCGGCCGATTCGACGACGACCAGATGCAAGCAATCCGAAACCGCTTCCTCACCTTCGAAACCACAACCTCACTTGTGGTAGACGACTTCCGCAAACGCAAAAAGCTGACCGTCGTCGACGCGGAGCCATCCGTCGCGAAAATCCACGAGGAACTAGTCACGATAATCTCTAGCGTTGCTGAGCTCCTGCATTAGCGCCGCGCTGCTGCTGCTTCTGCTGCTGGTGCTGCTGCACAATTGAAATTGTTTGTGTGTTTTATGTATGGCACTGTTGTGATCTGCAATGCCTTGTTTTGCAGTAGGGTAGCATCTGCCCAGTCAATGGCATCGAACTTTATGTACGCTCAGTCTCAATCTTGCACTTCCCTGCGCTCTTAGCTTACTTTCACGTATAGCTAATTTGTCTAGGGTAGCAGGGTTGGGAGAGTTAAGACCACGCGCAATTGGTCTATGATTCTATGAGGCTTTCACTCAGTGATAAATATGCTTTCTTCAGCAAACATTTGTGATGTGCATTAATATGCATTAGATCATTCTATTTTTGATGATATTATAGCATTCTGAAGTAAACCCATTCAATCCAATTCCTGCGCCTGTGGTACCTTGAAACTCCAATTCATAATCATCACTGATAGATGCGCTTACTGCTCAGCAGTCTCGCCCTCGACCTCAACCGCGTTGATTCTTGACGCCTTCTTCTTCTTGTCCTTGAGGGCCTTGCGGCCGGAAACAGGTGTGATCTGGGGAGGCGGGACGGGGGCTACCAGGGGAACTGTAGCGACGGGCACCGCAGGAGCAGGAGCGGGGGCAACAGCGGGAGGAGCAGCGACTGCGGGCGCCGGCTGAGGAGCCGCAACGGGAGCAGGAGTTCCAGCCTGAGGAACAGCACCGTTGGGGTCAGCAGCCGGGACAGCGGCGGCAGGAGGTTGAGGAGCTTGATCGGGCCACGCTGGCGCGGCAGCAGGAGGGGCCGGAGCAGCTGCAGGAGGAGCAGGGACAGCGGCCGGGGGTGCAGGAACAGCAGCGGCAGGAGGAGCAGCAGCAGGAGGAACTGCGATAGGGATGGCGTTGGGGTTGGCAGGCGTAGCAGGAGGAGGAGCAACAGCCGGGACAGCAGCGACGGCGGGCTCAGAGTAGATTGCGATTGCCTGGTCCATCACGGACTCGATCTGAGCCCTGCCCTCAGCTGCGATTCTCTGCCCGACTCTGGGAACCTTTTCCTCAAGCGCAGCCGTCAATGCCATGCTGGAAATCTTCTGCCTCTGGAGGGACTCCAATGCAACACCACTGACGCCAAGGTTGTCAAGAACAGGCTTGCGGGAGACTAGGTCGTTCACAGTGACAGTCGTCTGATCGATGAGAGCGTCGGTAGTGCGGCGAAGCCTGGCAGCTCTGAAGGCACTGAGGTCACCAGCAGACTGTATGTCGACTGTGGCCTGGTCGGTAGCCACCTGGGCTTGCTGAGAGAAGATGAGGAGGTTGTTTGCCGTGACTGGGCCTCCATCCAAAGAGAGGACTGCAGCATCGACGTTGGCAAGTGATTCGGAGACGGGAGCCAGAGCACGCTCAATGGTGTCAAGATCACCTGCAGCTCTCTCCTCGATCTGGATGATTCGGATAGGCTGGAGAGGTACGGCAGTAATGATGGCCGCCTGGGCGAAGAGAGCAAGGGTCAGGCGCATGGTGACCATTTTGATGTGAAGATAACAGACGAAGGGTCTGAAGGTTTTCGAAGAAAGTATTGAGGCTTTGGGAATAACCAAGCTATTGTTCTTAAGATCCTTGTCTGATGCTCCAAAAAAACGTTCTCTTCCGGTGGGATACCGAACAGTTTTATAAGCTTTGGTCAACCAGTCTGTGATGATTGAAGCCCAGATCACATCCAGGACCAAGATGGGAGGATGGACCTTCGTTGGCTCCCGTCTGCGCCTGGAACGTGAAACCGTGAGACACATCCGTACCGTGAGGAAGTCAACGATCCTTGAGCTTGCAGTAGCTCACAACCTGAGAACGCTGTCTCCAGGCTGGGAAGCAGCCTTCGCGACTCCAGCATCTGCGTCCCCGACGCAAGGATCCTCTGGATACAGACCACAAAGGTCTGTGTTGACGTCCGTGATTCTCGGCCGGGAAGTACTGGTCTGCAGCCATTACCCACTTTTGACAGTCTGACAGGTACAAGACAGCTAAACGGTCGTGAACCGGCGGCCGAAAGGAGGATTAAGCTTCTGTGGCTAAGAAACCCCTGACCCGTGCGCGCAACTCGGTGCAGGAAGGGAAGGCAAGGTCCCGATGCAACAGGGATGAGGTCCTGGCGCCGCGGCGACAGCTGGGCTGCAGGAGCCATGAAACGGACCGCACCATGTCGACAGCGGCGACGACATCGAGGCCTGTGGAGCTCGGGGAGGCTCTCAAGGGCCTCAAGAGGAGACACTCCGGGACGCAGCCGTCAAGTGCCACATACTTGAGACGAACGACAAGAGACACCAAGCTGTTGTCGAAATGTGGCCAATGCCAGTCGACCGGGGACGCAAAGTGAATGCTCGGACATGTTCCGTGGACACACGATTTTGACGGATGCTGCCGATGAATTT